GGTCTTCTGTTATCTACACTGTTTGCTTCATTATTTTTATATCATCTTAACGTGATACAGTGTCTCGTTCCTGGCAAGTACTTGATATGTGTTTTTCCAATGATGGGGCACATACCAGAACAAATCTTGTACTTTTTTTTATCTGCTCTATTATTTTTTCTTGCTGCTGCCCTTGTGCCTGATGCTCCACTTCTTCTACATGGCTCTCCCTGACTGCTTTAACTCTGTTTTTGCCTTCCTCTTCTGTATTCCTAAAGCTTATTTGGTACCCAAGGGATAGAGTCCTACAACTGTGGTCTGTTCATCTGAGGTCAAGGTGGCAGAGTTCTGGGTAGCTGGAGCTCTTTCCTTAGCAGGGGCATCTGTGTTGGCAGATGTTGAGACATGGCCTGCCTGATACAGGATTCGGCCTCACTATTTGGAAAGAAATCGGGGTTATCTTTATTCCACTGGCATTAGGGTTAAATAGTTAACAACTAACAGAGATGAAATCAGTAAATACAGTAACTGATACTAAGGAACAACTTTGTAAGCCAAAAGATATAAAAATTAAAAACTGAAAATATTTGCAAACATGTCAAAGAGTTGAAGTCCTTAATATGAAAGGAACTCGTAAGTCAATGAAGGATATAAAGAAAAATTGTTAGGAGGCATGAACAAGAAAATCATAGAAGATGACATGACATATAAGCAGCCAATTTTTTTTTTTTTTTTTTTTGAGACAGAGTCTTGCTCTGTTGCCCAGGCTGTAGTTGAGTGCAGTGATGTAATCTCGGCTCACAGCAACCTCCACTTCCCGGATTCAAGCGATTCTTGTGCCTCAGCCTCCCAAGTGGCTGGGATTACAGACGTGTGCCAACACACCCAGCTAATTTTTGTATTTTTAGTAGAGATGGGGTTTTTCCGTGTTGGCCAGACTGGTCTTGAACTCCTGACCTCAGGTGATCCTCCCACCTCGGCCTTCCAAAATGCTGGGATTATAGGCATGAGCCACCATGCCTGGCAATAAGTAGCCAATTTTATAATTAAGTGTTTAATCTTATCAGCAATAGAAAAGAAATAAACATCATGTTAGGCAATAGATGCCAGATGCCATCAAATGAGCAAAATTAGATAAATTCTAAACTTTTAACTCAAAATTATTATTATTATTTTTTGAGACAGAATCTCGCTGTGTCCCCTAGGCTGGAGTGCAGTGGTGTGATCTCAGTTCACTGCAGCTTCCACTCCTGGTTCAAGCAATTCTCATGCCTCAGCCTCCCAAGAAGCTGGGATTACAGGCACGCACCACCACCCCCAGCTTATTTTTTGTGCATTTTTAGTGGAGGTGGGTTTTTGCCATGTTGGCCAGGCTGAACTCCTGGCCTCAAGCAGTCCACCTGCCTTGGCCTCCCAAAATGTTGGGGTTACAGGTGTGAGCCACTGTGCCTGGCTTTGCTTTAAATAAAATTTTTTTTTTTAATTTGAAAAAGAAATTCATGTGCTTCTGGCAGAAATCTAACTTGGTATGTAACCTTTGTAGCAAACAATTTGGTATTATTTGAGAAGTTTACATTTTTAAGGTTTTAACCTATTAATTTAATTCCCAGGAATCTATCCAAAAGCTATGAATTAGAGAGGCAAATATTTGCATAATATTCATCATTTATCACAGTGTTTTTTTATGATGGGGAAAAACTTCAAATCACTTAAATGTTTTCTTTGAGGAAGTACTTCCTTAAGTGGAATATTATGCCACCAGGAAGTTGTAATCTTGAAGAATATTTTAAAGAAGAAAATACTCATGAAATGTTAGAAAAATTATGTTAGAAATGTTAGAAAAAATTATTTAAAGAACTATAATGTCATGGGATCCTTGGGGTGTTGCTTTTCCACCTGGACACTTATGTGGCCAGTGGTGCTTTTGCCTGAGTTTTCCTTGGGTCCACTGGGCTTTTTCCACCCTCTTGGCTTGGTAAGCTGCGCTCGGCTTGCACTACCAGCCCAGATCCCATGCCTGCCAATGGCAAGCCAGGTGCGGAGCGGCGAGTGGTGTGTGAGTGAGCATGGGGTCCAGCCACTGTGCACAGCCAGGTGTGCCAGCCGTGGCAGGGCAGGCAGCTCCAGGCACCAGTACAGACACTGGCTTGGTGCAAGGCTGTGGCTGGACCAGGCGTACCACAAGCAGTTTCCACTGCAGGCACTGGGGAATGCAGTAATGCCTGGAAACTTGGAGATGCCAGGAACTGCAGAGCCCCAAAGAAGGTGTCACAGCCCTGGCTTGGAGAGCCCCTAGGTATGGTGTCCCTGAAGGGCTGCAGCCCTTCCCTCCTTCTTGTTGCCCGCAACCTGGTGAGTGGGGGCATGTTTTGGTCCTGTTTGCGTTACAACTTTTTCAGCTCCAACATTTAGGGGTCCTGTGTCCAGGAAGAGTGAGGTACACGAGGTACGTGGATGACTGGAGGGTGAGCAAGGCAGAGAGCAGCTTCATTGAGCCCCAGAAGAGCTCTCAGGAGACCTGAAGTGGGTAGCTCCTTTCTGCAGGCAGGTCATCCGATGAGGAGACCAGAAGTGGGCAGCTCCCTCCCACAGCTGGTGGTCCGGACATCTATGAGTCTGGCTGAGTCTGGGATTTTTATGGGCTCAGAATGGAGGAAATGTGTACTGATTAGTTCATGGGAGGCCACGGATGGCCTGGAGAAAGCACCCTAAGTTCTTACTGCAGCCCACAGACTCCACCCGGAACCTGCACCTTGGACCCCAGCCTTCAGGTCATCCCTGGCTTGAAGGTGGGGTTTTACATGTGACGTGCCCTTTCGGGGCAGGAACCTGTGTCTGCCTCCCTCCACTGCCCAGGCTGTTTGGGCCGAGAGGTGCCTGCAGGCCCACTTGGAGCTGCCCTTACCCCTGCTGGCCTCTTTCCCATGCTCATCAGCACCCAAAGTCCAGCAGAGGCTGAGGCGGCAGGGGGCTGGTGTGTCAGCACTCTCTGAGCCTGTGCACACCCAACCCGGTCGTGACGGTGCCTGGGCTTGGCCACAACTCGCTCTGCACCAGAGCAGGTGCTGGGAGCAGGAAGTGGGAGCAGGCACTTCTGAGCCTGCGGGGGATGAGGGGTCTTCCCGGGTCCCTGAGAGTGCAGGAATGCCCGGGTCTGGAGCCTCTGCTGGCTGCAACTGTGCCAGGAGCATGGAGCTCCCACCCGGCCAACTTGGTAGGGGGCAGCACTCCCACTTGTTCTCTGCCCTGCTGGCTTCTTGGAGGTTGCAGCCCTGGCTGCGCCTCCCCCGATGCAACCAGACAGGCTGCGGCTGCCATCAATAATGCTTATTTATAGTGCTGCAGTTTGTTATGTATGCAAACAAACGCCCTGAAATGTAGCTGAAGAAGTTATCTCTGGGTGGTGGGATAGGTGATGTTTTTTTTCTTTGATTTTATAGTACATGTGATTTAAAAATCACTGTCTTACTGATTAGTTCCATGTATAATTTCTGAAGGAGACACTGTAACAGAATGGTTTAGAGCAGGGGCTAAAAGGCAGACCTGGTTTTTGGTAGCAGCCTTGATCCGATCCATGGTATGACCTGACCATGTTTTACTTTTCTCAGCATTTGTCTCCTCATCTGTAAAGTGGGACTTCTTAAACTTAACTCAGAGTTGTCAAGATTAGAAATGATAATGCATTATAACAGCCTTAAAAAATAAATTTCTTCTTTTGCTTTAATTCTTGCAATAAAAACAGTGTTGCACTGTCGCCTGGGCCGGAGTGCTGTGGCGTGATCTTGGCTCACTGCAACCTCTACCTCCTGGGTTCAAGCCATTCTCCCGCCTCAGCCTCCTGAGTAGCTGGTACTACAGGCACATGCCCCCATGCCTGGCTAATTTTTGTAGAGATGAGGTTTCACCATGTGGGCTGGCTAGTCTCGAACTCCTGACCTCAGGCTATCCACCCTCCTCAGCCTCCCAAAGTGCTGGGATTACAGGCGTGAGCCATCGCATCCAGCCAAAGACAAGTCAGCTTTTTTTGCCTTCCGTTGAATGTATCATAACAAAGACATTCAAGATACAATAGTCAAAACTCAAATGAATTTGTGGGGCTAAACTATTAAGTGTATAATTACTTTGTGAGTTACAGATTAAGTGTAAGTTTCACTAAAATCAACTGCAAATGATAATAATGAAAATGTAATTTTAATTTTCTGCCAAGACACATATCGTTTTCATTCTTGCTAATCTTCACCTGTTGAACTACCAGAAATGTTACATTTATTATCATGTATATAACCTTTTGCAGTCTGGGTCACACAAGAGAATCAACCCTGTCCTTAGGCATCTGTTGCATGTAATGAATTTGCTTCTCTCTTGTGTGTCTAGAATGGAACCAGCTTGTCATCTAATTTCTCATATGGAAGAAGTAAGAAAACTGTCGCCCAAATCACTGTTCTGTGGTTTAGATGAGGAACACTGATTGAGATGCCTGGCACATAGAAGGCACTCAAACGGAAGCAGTTCCTATTGTATTAGTCCTGGAAGTCATATAAAAGAGCGGTTGCTTTCCGGATTTCTTTGTTTGGTATAAGCATCTTTGGGAAAAGGTATTTTCCAGAGTGTGATCCAGTAAGTGGACAGCTCTGTGGCAATTTCTTAGGCCCTGTCTTTGGATCCGGAACTGGCTCTGTGCTGTAGGACCACAAGCAGCTCCTCCATTTGCCTTCTTGTAGTGTAATGGCCCCGTTCATCCACTGTAGGGCGCCAAGGTACTGCTTCCTATCTGGGAAGATTTTCTGATTGTTACTGCTGTCCCCTTAACTATCAGAAGCCTTACTGTATCCAAAGCCTTATTCAGGCCTCACATTTAATATTTTGTCACAGACTGCTTTATGGTAATGTATTCCATTTGGATATTCATACTACTTTTTTGGGACATTGATTTTTTTTAATACGCTGCTAAAGATACTGTTTTAATATATTTTCTGGTGAATGTTTTCTCATCACTGCTTCCTATTTCCTTTTAGCTACTGATCTACTTCTTGCCTGGAATCCCATTTGTTTGGGGTTGGTAGAAGGTGTTATTGGAAAAATTCAACTTCATTCAGGTATGTTTCTGTAAACTCCTTAAACTTGTCAGATTTATTGTAGCATTTTTTGGTGTTTTCCTCTTTGAGGATACATGAGATTCTCTTACGGCTTTGATTCCTTTGTCTTAATTTTGGGTCTGCTCAAAGTGGGTGTATTTCCATATAAGTTTAATGAAATAAAAAAGAAAACTTTAGAAAAAAGGTGACATAATATTACACTTCTTCCTGTTACAAAACTTACTGAACACCTGCTGTGTGTCAGGAATCGTGCTTGTTGGTAGAACACAATAATGAGCAAAGACCGCCCTGTTTCTACCCTCATGGAGCTTACAGTTTAGGAGGAAAGACAGGTATCAAAGAGTAGTCACGGAAATAAACGTATGATTATTTGATAATTGTGGAAGGTGCTATGAAGGAAAGATACAGCAAATGCATCGATCTCAGAGGAGAGTAGTAGGAATAAAGCTGGAGAGGCAAGCAGGTGGCAGACCATGACTGATTGGCTTTATGTCAGCTGTCTGTTCCTGATGCAGTCAGCTCTGCCAGAGGAGTATGGGTCTCTTAGCACACAGTGTGGTCCTGTCAGAGATCCCTGTCCAGGACAGGCAGATTGATGGGAAGTCCAGGTCACTCACCAGGCCCTCACTTGGAATGACAGGCACCTGTGTCCTGAGCTTAAAGGGAATTTTGTTGGTGGGAAAGTATAACAGGTATTATATAGGCAGGTCCCAAAAAGCTAATGGAAAGGGGTCAAATGAAATTTTATTTTTTCTTTTTTGGTGCCTTGCCCTTCAGGGAGCTTTTTAAAATTAGAGATGGGTTCTTGCTATGTTGCCCAGACTGGTCTCAAACTCCTGGCCTCCAGTGATCCTCCTGCCATGGGCTCCCAACGTCCTGGGATTACAGGCATGAGCCACCATGCCTGGCCTAAATGAAATATTTTAAGCACTACATTTAAATAAATATTTTTCCTTTGGTATCAATTTTGATGAGTTATGAATTATAGGAGGCTTTGCCATTATTTCTGTGTAATTGCGAGTATCTCTATAGTGTGTCCTTTTTATTTAAAAATAATATTAAGCATTTGGGAGCTAGATTGATTTTTGTGTATCAGAAATAAGCACATATATCTGGAACAAGCTAATTTTCCTTTGCTAGATTCTTTGATTGTTTTTAAATATGAGCCGGGCACAGTGACTCACACCTATAATCCCAGAACTTTGGGAGGCCGAGGCAGGCGGGTCATCCAAGGTCGGGAGTTCGAGACTGACCTGACCAACATGGAGAAACCCTGTCTCTACTAAAAGTACCAAAATTATGTGGGCATGGCGACGCATGCCTGTAATCCCAGCTACTCGGGAAGCTGAGGCTGGAGAATCGCTTGAACCTGGGAGATGGTGGTTGCAGTGAGCCGAGATTGCGCCATTGCACTCCCGCCTGGGCAACAAGAGCGAAACTCCATCTCAAAAAAAAATAAGTAAATAAAAGAAAGGAAATATGACCAATGTGTTTGGAGCCATCTCTGTGCCTTTTCCCAAATGTTTCCTATTTCCTTCCCCTTAAAGGAACCTGCTATTTTGAATTTTGTATTTACTTGGTTTTCATTTTTCCTTTTATTATATATGTATTCCCACAGATGTTGCTAAGGGTTGTATTTTGGGGATTTTATATAAGTGATATTAAGTTGTTTTTGTTCTTTCACTTATTTTTATTTATATTTTTGAGATTTATTCATGCATGAAACTGTAGTTCCTTATTTTCACTATTTATGAATATATCATGATTTGTTCTTTTTCCTCTCACTGGGTAATTGAGTTGTTTCTTTTTTTGTTTTGCTATTAGAACTAATACTGCTATGAGCATTGTTGTATATTCTGTATTTGGTAGGTTTTTTTAAAAAAATTCTTTCAACACAGAGAAGAAAAGCATTTAGTCATTGTGTAACCATGTAACCAAGTATTTTAATAACACTCTCCTACCTGTCCACATTTACATACATATATTTTTAATTCATTTACATGCTGACAGGATAATTTCACATCTGGGTGTTCTGAGCTAAAATTCGTTTTCTGTTATTTAAATGACACGTTTGAGTTATTTTTCCTCATTTTCAGTCACATCTTAGCACAGTGAATAAATCACTGCAATCAGTTAGGAGACCTGAAGACAAGCTGTATTTATTTAACTTTGAGATACAGGAGAAGCTGCCTAACATCTATTTCATGTATCTCTTGTTATGTAACAAGCCAGTCCCAGAAGTTAATGGCTTAAAACAACAACAGTCTATAATTTCTCATGATTCTGTGGGTTGACAGAGCAGCTCTGCTCTTCTCTGTTGTGTTGGCTGGGGTCATTCACGTAGCAACATTCACCGGGAGTTTGCCTGGGTGGCCTTAGTTCTCCTTCACCTGGCCCCTCTCTCCATGTCTCTCGTCTCACAGAGCCTCTCCTTGAGTCCTCCTCTCTCTCCTGGGTAACCTGGATGTCCTTTCAGGGTAGTGACTGGGTGCTGAGAAGACAGCTACCAGTGCTCAAGGGCCTGTATGTCTTAAGTTGTTACACAAGGTAAAAGAAACTGCTGTCTTCATTTTCATAGGATATTGTGAGTCCCAAATGAGCTAACTATCATACCTGCAAGTGCTTAGTAAATTGTAAATCACTATTTTATCAAGGCTCTTTGGTTGCAAATACAAACCTATCAGCTTATGCAAAACACACATTTTTTTATGAAGAACCCAAGGGACCAAAAACAAGACAGAAACGGATGTTGTACGGGATCCAGGATTACTTTATTGGGGCAACTGGTCTCTGACAACTGCCTCTCCTCCTATGTCTCTTTTATTCTTCTCTCTTTTTGACTTTCTCTGTTTGTATGATGTAGGAGAAAATTTCTGCCTTCAAAATGACACCCCTAGCCTCAAACCAACTGACAACTGATATTCCCTGTAATGACTGGAAACTGACCAGCAATCAAAAAAGATTGAGTAGTGAGTCCACATTAGACTTCTAGGTAAGAGGCTTATTTGCCCATCTTGAGCCATGGGACTCCTGGCTGGGGTCACGTAGGTCGGACGTGCTCCAGAGTCCCAGTCCTCTCGGTGGAAGTCAGAGCAGGAGGGTTTGGACTTGGCAGACAGCTCAGAAGCTGTCTCCTACAACTGATGTGCAAATGTAAGTTAGTTGATGGCTGATGAGTTTGTGATACAGTCAAAGTATGGTCAATAGGAAGCGGTGAAGGTATGGCCATCTGTGGTCAGCCCCCTTTATATGTACTGCTCCTCCTTTCCGTTCTTTGGTCCCAGAATAGGTGGTTGATAGGCAGTGAGAATACCTGTGATGTAGGATATTTTGAAAGAGGGAGAGGTGGAGAGTAGAGTGAACTGGAGAAAGTATAAAAAAGGAAAAAAGGGCAGGGAAATTCTCTTAATTTTTCATTCTCCTAATCCTTGGACCTTTTTTTTTCCTTCTTTTTGTCACATCACTTGAAAGGTTTGGCTCTTAAGAAAGCGAGTGGGGAGGCAGCACAGGAAACTCTTTGCTGGGCCCCTGCTGCTTTTCCTTCCCTCCCAACCCTCTCCATGTCACTCCACCCCCAGCCCCTTGCCTGTGAGCAACCATCTTACTTACTCTCCTTATCTGTCCTCAGGGATGCCCCCTCCTCTCCTCTCCCTGCCCCCCATTAAAGCTCTTGCCCTGGGTCAGATTGGCTAGAAGGGAGGTATGTGCCTGCTGTGTGTGAGAAAGAATCGAGAAAATTACTCGAGGGGCATTTTCCCTGGGAACATCTTATCTTTGGAGGATAGGGGTTGAGGGGAATAAAATGTCTGTACTGAACCTCTCTCCTGTTTCCCTCCTACTTATTCTCCACATATTAATGCACAAATTTTTCTTCTTGCCTAGGGAGATGGGAACATAAATTTATTTGAACAGATGTCATTGACAGTCTTAAAGTGGCGTGGGTGAGCCATGCCGCTGTTCCTGACTGTCACTGAACTCTGAGCTCTGTGGAATGAAGCAAGTGCTCGTGACTTAGGAACTGTATTAGTTTGCTGCCATAGCAAAGTGCCACCAGCTGGGTGACTTAAACAATGGAATCGTATTTTCTCACAATTCTGGAACACAAGTCTGAAATCAAGGTGTTGGCTGTGTTGGTTCCTCCTGAGGCCTCTGTCGTGATCTTGTACATGGCCACTGTCCCCTTGTGTCTTCATGTGGTCTTCCCTCTGTAACTGTGTGTCTGTCTAAATTTCCTCATCTTGTAATGACACCAGTCATTTTGGATTAAGGCCCACTCAAACTCATTTTAACCTAATTACCCCTTTGAAGACCCTGTCTCTAAATATAATCATATTCTGAGGTCCTAGGAGTTAGGACTTCAGCATATGAATTTTAAGGGGACACAGTTTAGCCCATAACAGGAACATAATATCCACCAAAATGCTTCATTACAAAAGCATGTCAAAAAGAATTCCTTCTGGTCTGGTGTTGCTGTTTCCTGCTGCTTGCCCTTATTTCAGTGTGATAGGCCAGTCCTTGAATATCATTGACTAGGAACCCACTCCAGACGTGGACTAATTCTGCAAGATCACACAATTGCCTTGAGTCAGGTGACCTCATCTAAGCCTCAGTTACCATCTATAAGACAAAGCTGATTATAGTTCCTTGATACAGTTATTGCTAAGATTTAATAAAACTCACATAAAGTGAGTTCTTGGTAATAATATGCATTCAGCCAGACGTGGTGGCTCATGTCACGTGTAATTTCAGCACTTTGGGAGGCTGAGGTAGGCAGATCACAAGGTCAGGAGATCGAGGCCAGCCTGACCAACATGGTGAAACCCCGTATCTGCTACAAATACAAAAATTAGCCGGGTGTGATGGCACACACTTGGAATCCCAGCTACTCGGGAGGCTGAGGCTGGAGAATCGCTTGAACCCAGGAGGCAGAGGTTGCAGTGAGCCGGGATCGCGCCACTACACTCCAGTCTGGGTGACAGAGCGGGACTCTGTCTCAAGAA